ATCAGCAAGCTATGATCGAGGTCGGAGTTTGCGTAACTTAACAAATTGCGTTCTTCAGTAGCACCCATAGCTAGAGAGGTAAAATATTTGCAATCTACTAATAAAGATGCATACATAGCATAATTAGTGCTACTGAAGTCATTCACAAAAATTATATACAGCAGTGGTCCTAAGATAGAACCCTGCGGAACTCCTATCTCACTCTTACGCATTCCAGATCTGTGATTTTCAATTCCAATATACTGTGATTCGTAGGACAAATAATCACGACACCACTCAAGCGGACGTCCCCACTTATTCCGTAGCATTCAAATTTTCTCAGCAATTCAGTTCAATCAGCTGTAAGCAGGAACTTGCTCCAAATATGTATCAACCTCTTCTAAGCCACCTTAGGCATTGAAACATTGTCATTTCCGCACTGGTCACTGTTGTTGACCATGAAATTCTCTATCCGACCGTCGATAAGTAAAATGATGAAACAGATTACTGTCATAGAGCACACCTCAGTTATATGATGAAGACAGATACTGCGGAAGTGCCAGATACTGACATTATTGAATCGTGATCTTTCAACGATCTTAGCGAGGTCGAATATCGCGACCTCTTGTTCGCCCTTGGAATAAAACAAGCTAACTTCAATGAGCAAAGAGATCCTGGTGCCATTCATAATAATGGCAGTACTGAAAGACAAAGTTGTAGTCTTTGGAAGTGTCATCCCTAGCGATCATAATAATATAGTCGAAATCACGAAAGATGACGATTACGTCATCATTTTAGTCTGTAGTAAAGACAAACGACAGCGATTTGTGAATATGTTTAATGAACTTTCAGATATGCTAGACAGAGACAAACAGAATTTTATTGTCTAAACAAACTGTATTGCTAATATGGATGTATCCGACAAAGATAGACGATGTTTTCATGTTGCATGATCGATCATATTTGAAAGATGAATAGTTAGGTTATGTTAAATCAGCTTATGTTGTTGTCGAATAATACTTTGGTCTTTGGTGTTGCTGTCTTAAGATATTCTAATCATAACTGTTTTTTTCAAAACAAAAACTCCGCACTAAGATTATTATAACTCAAAACCATGAAATAAAATGAAAACAAAAATAATCAGTGTAATAACCTATCTTCCCAAATCATGACATAAATTTGTTGTCATTATTCCTGATATCGTGATTTTATCATCGACGTACGTCCAATGATTACTTCAGTACAATTTATGGTATGACGTAATAGTCATCTTTCGAGATTCTGACTATAATAGCATTTATTATCCAACAGTTACCCATTTACAGGACTATTACATGAACAAAATAAACTAATAGTCTACGACAGAGTTTGGGAAGAAAATAATCAGTTTTAAGTATTGATAAACTACTACACTAGAGTCGTATCGTCAGTCGTTCCTACAATTGTAGGACGCCTTTATGACCTCCTTGATTGTCATACTCCTTTCTCTCGTTCAAAAATGTCTAGATTGCACCTGTTCTGTGTCAGCGTCAGCGCTCTCCTACTGTGAAGATATGTTTTCTTTTTGAATTGTAGGAAATTTCAGGCTGATAAAACATGATACAAATAAAAAGCATGCACAATTTGATATAAATAGATATTTGTGACATAACCTCAAAATAGAGCGCTGACACGGAAAAGTAGAAAACTATGACAATCAAGGAGGACATAAAGGCATCCTACAATTGTAAGAACGACGATACGGGCCTTAGAGTCTCCCTGCAGACATTCGTTAGAAAAGTTCTGACAAAAAAGCTACAATTAAGCAAGCGAAGAGGTCCTGTCACCCAGATGATATTAACAGAGCAACGAATCTTGTTCATGAAGTGAGAAATGCTCTTCATGAATTGCGTAATGATCAATGGAGCGACTTTCAGTCGGGGATGCTTGACTCAAGTATTCCTCTCTGGAAAGTTGCAAAGTCGCTCAGAAACGGAAAGCGAGAACAACTCCCGCACATCCACGGTCCTAGGGGCATAGACTGTAGGTCAGAGGAAAAGGTCGAGGTTTTCGCTGATGCAATGGAAATTCAGTTGTCTCCCAACTATGACCTCGATAATGACTTCGATGAGGAGCAACACATTGTAAGATCCGTCAGGAGGTATTTTAGGACCAACGGCGTCAGTAGCAGTAGTGCCTCCCTTAGTGATTTTTCCTCAGAGGAATCTTCAGAAGATTCCTCAACTGAAGAGCTGCATGGCATATCAGCGGAGTCTCCTGAGACTCCGCATTGCACACCAGCAGAGCTCCAAGGTCATATTAAAGACCTCAAGGTGCGTAAAGCACCTGGGAGGATCGAATCACTAATAAGGCGCTGAAGAAGCTACTTTTGCGGAAGTCGTTATCTTATCTCGTGGCAATATTCAATGCCATGTTAAGGACCCAGCACTTTCCAACGGCGTGGAAGGCCGCTGATGTCATAATGATTCCAAACAAGGTGGATTAGATATTCCCCCAGGATTATCGCCCCATTAGTCTACTGTCAGCTCCTTCTAAGCTCGCTGAAAAGGTGATTCTACGTCACCTTGAAAATTTCTCGGCAGTCCACAACGTAATTCCTGACGTGCAATTTGGCTTTCGGTCTGAGCATAGTACGGAGCTACAGGCCATACGGCTTGTTGAATGAGTAACCAGGGGGTTCACCCGTAACAAAAGTACTGGCATCTTGCTTCTGGATGTCTCAAAAGCATTTGACAAGGTGTGGCAAAAGGGCCTTCTCTACAAATTGATCCATAAGGGCTTCCCCTTCTGGCTCGTAAAACTTTTGAAATCCCTCCGCGAGGGTAGGAAATTTCGGATCAAAATTAATAACGTTCTGTCGACAACACGGCCCATCAAAGCCGGTGTCCCTCAGGGTTTGGTTCCTTTATTCACTTTTTATTCATGACGTCCCTTGCCCCAGCAACTGTGAAATCTATCTCTATGCTGATGACACTGCCCTGGTGGTCCAGTCGTGCTCTGGGGATCTAGTTCACGACAGGCTGCAAAGTGCAGTGGACGAGGTATTGGAATGGGCGAATCGGTGGCTGATCAAAATTAATCATTCGAAAACGCAGGCAATTTACTGTACTAAAAAACGTAGCGGCGCCCGTCTAAGGTTTCAGTGAATGGAGCTCGGGTACCATGGGAAAGCTCTGCTAAGTATCTCGGTTTCACTCTTGACAAGGGAATGACCTGGCAGAAGCACACTGAAGCATTAAAAACTAAATTCCAAATCTCGTTTCGGCAACTCTACCCTATGCTATGTAGAACATCAAAATTAAGTTTGATCAACAAAGTTCGGCTATACAAGGTGGTTATTAGACCAGTGTTCACTTACGCAAGTGCGGCTTGGTGTTTTCTCGCCAAAATGCATTTGCGTAGCCTGCAGGTTTTGCAGAACAGAACCTTGCGTACAATCACTAACGCCCCATGGTATGTTTCCAACGAGACCCTTTACAGAGACCTTGACATCCCTTACCTAAAGGACTACATCAAACAACAAGCGCAGCTACGTTATAGTCAAGCGGAATCGCATAACAACCCTTTGTTGCGCGAGTCAGTACACTACACAGTCGAGCAAGTTCGCAAGCACACAAGGCCGCGACTCGCACTGTGAACAAAATTAAATCCAGCGACTTTAGGTCCAACCAAAATTATAATTTTTCTTCAACAACCAATCCCAAAATTAATTTTAGGACCAATTTAAAATTGCCGAATACTAATTAACAATGCCAAGGCACCCGTCAAATTGACGCGCTTCTTTTTCCTTTGCTCTCCCCCCTTTCTTACTTTCTTCTTTCCTTCTTTATGCCTGACTTTGTTTGGTATCTGGGCAACCAAACCTGACAGACCTACTGACTTATAAGACTTCAACCAAGAGCAAAGGTTCTACGGGCTGCTTTGACAGACAATGACAAATAGACGGGCCTTAGAGAAGATATAATGACAGCTAACTCTATTGAGATTTTTGCATATAATATGCACAGGTAGCTTGTCCAAAACATTGGTCCTTTCTCATGTCAAATGGCCATACAGCTCTGCATTGCTAACTCCTTGCTGAGGATAAACTCCCTCAGGCTTCATATGAAGAAATTTAAGGAGCCTTCTTCAAACCTTTTCAATTTGGTAATACGCACATGTGCAAAATATAATTCCTTCAAAGTCGTGTAATTGCCTACAATTTCTGACCAGGAAACCGCTTCTGAAGCTTTTTGAGAAATATGGGGAACAAATGACAATGTTTGGCCATAAGGAACACCCAAATTTCTGATTGTTTCACATCTATCCAAAAATGCACCATCAATATTATAGTTGAGAATATCAATGGTTTTATTCTTACTATAACTAACAATCTTACACTTATTGGTACCTATTTGTTGACATCGCACAAAGTCCGAATACTAGTCAACTCTATCTGTAAATCCAGACAATCATGAATATCCCTTATAGACGAATATATTTTCATGTCGCCAGCAAAATATAATTGCATACATTTCAAATTTGCACAGAGGTCATTAATAAATAATAGAAATAAAAGTGGTCCCAAGTTAGACCCCTGCGGATCACCGGTTGGATCTGAGTAGACTTCGGGCTTGAACGCATTATATGCTACGTAATGTATCCGCCCTGATAAATAGGATCCAAATAATTTTATAGTACTTAGTGTGAATCCAAAGTGCCCTAATTTCTTTAACAAAGCTCCACGATCAATTTTGTTGAAAGCATTTGAAAAATCTGTTTAAATGACATCGACCTAGCAGTTATCATCCAATACTTCAGATACTTACTGCGTTAAAATAACTCAAAAGTCTTCTTATTGAAGGGTATAAGCGATTATACAGGATTTTTTTAAAGCCCTTCGCAAAACTGCATATGAGACAAATTGGTCGACGTGCCAAATATATCTGTAGGTATTTAAGTTTGTCTTTTTGTCTGTAACTGTTTGTCACAGGATACTTTAAGCAGCCTACGAGGAAAAATAGACAAAACAAATGACCTACCTTGACTGAGGAAGTACGGGTCGGTCATATTTTTGTACGGGGGTCCCAGGTAGGCACCCAGCGCCCCCATAACTTGGATGTACCCGGTTTCAGGCTGAACGAAATTCTGCATCATTCCCCCGGCCATCATCCCACTTTGGAAACAATTATATCCAGTTGGTTTTTCCATAGGTAGCGACCTCTTTTCAGCCACCTTGGGGCACTGATACACTCTGTCACTTCTGCACTGGTCACTGGCGTTGACCTCGAAAGTCCCGACCTCTTGATCGCCCCTGCGACGGTAGAGGATGTCGTCGATGAGGAATGAGGTCTTGACAGGTGACGTCAGGCTGGTGTCCTTGACGCGGTCCTTCGACTGGACCTCGCTCATTTCGCAGTAGGCTGTTCTTGCGGCCGCGAACAGTTGAAGTCTACGTCGGTGTCGAGCTGACGGGATGCCACGGGAAGGGCCGCCCACTGCTCCCTAAACGGGGAGGGCAGTTTTGATCGCAACCCGGTAGCTGAAATTGATTTAAAAGGGCATTGGCGTAGGGTTATCACCTCAATGTTTGAATACTCAGGTAGTTACCAAGAAAAGGCCTGAATGCTGACGTACCGTGACTGGGATTGTTCATTTAGTTAAATATCTAATGGCGATATATTATTTCCATAGTAACTCCTATGATATTGGTATCAAATGAAGGGCTTTGATGAGAGAAACATAATAAGTGAAGTGACGTCATTCCAACTCTGATATGGTGGCGCAAAATAGCGATTTTCACGTTCTTCGGTTTTTAAGCAGTTACATGCGACCAGTTGAGTTAGAATGACAATGACAACACACAATCGATCATATGCCGACATTTGTAATCCAATATGGCGGATGCTACAAAATGACGATAAATCATTTCCGTAATAACACCTGTAAATGGGTATCAAATGAGATGGTTTAATGAGTTGAGTACTATCAGCAAAGTGGCGTCATCCTAAGTCCAATAAGACTCAAAATGGCGATTATCTGGGTACTTAATGACCTAACAGATGCAAATAAATAACTGTACAGGGTGTCATATTTTCGATGATATCTAATACTCTCACAAGGAAAGATATAGAGTTGCAGTTTTCGTAATACTGTGCAATTTTTTTTTGGTGAAAACTTAGATGGTATCAGTAACATTTTCATAGCCCCTTCGTTTCTGTGATACAGAGCGAAATTGAAAATATTACTTTACCCCTCATATCGCCATTATCCTTTAACATATCGCAGAGCTAAAAACTGGTTCTTACACAATTTTTTACGCAGAATACAGTGACGTAGCCAAATTTTTGCTGTGAGCTGTCAATTTTTAGCTATAAATCAAACTTAGTTTTTCTTTAATGTTACATCATTTACTCGTTAATTGAAAACAGTTTTACAGAAATATGTATTTTAAATAATAAATCGAAACATGTCCATATACCTACGTATTAACATAGTACGTATTCATATAGTATTACTATGCCTTGACTTTGTTATATACATATTATTTGTTATAGCATATTACAGATACATATATTTTAAAAAAGCTAAATCTAAGTAAGCTATGAACAATTTTATACACTGATGGATAATAAAAAAGTGCAGACTGCTATTAAACTGACAATAAAATGAAAAAATACGAACTGAAAATTCAGAAATATTTTTCCCAATTGGAAATACTCCGTTTTATACTTCATAACATTTAAACATTGATCTTGAACATAGGTCTCAATATGTTTTTAACACGGTTTTATTAGCTTGGCCTGTAATGTATGTATGTTTGTAACGAAATCTTTGAGCATAATTTTCACCAATTTCCAGAACTTTGATTAACTTGAAACTTCGCATACGTATCAAGGACCGATGACAGTTCAATAATTTGATCATAGTTTTGCATTATCCCTAATAGGACCGCCAGGGTTGATACATTCTTTTATAGATCTTCCGTAGGGGAGTAAGAGAGATAGAGCTAGCGCGATCTACGCATGCGTGCACTTTCGGACTTACTCATTGTCATTAATTATGACTGATTGTTGGACCATCTACTACTGTAATATAAACTCTTTGTAATAAAAAATTATTTATAGTCGCTTTGTATTTTACGAATACGAGGGTGGTTCCAGAAGTACCCGGGCTGACCTAGAGATTGCGATAGTTGTTTGAAAAATATCATTTTATTAAAGCATATGTGTCAAGTTTGAAGATGCCTCGTTGTTTAGTATTTGTTTGGCAGCCATCAATACTGAACGTTTTCAGTGAATTTGTGAAAATGGAGAAAATTGGTCATCGTTATGTGGTACAATACTTTTATTTCAAAGGCCTCAGCCCAACCAATATAAAAGCTGAACTGGATTCTACTCTGGGTGAGTCTGCTCCTTCGTTTACAACAGTAAAATATTGGGTAGCAGAGTTTAAACGAGGCTGTACGAGCTGCCAAGACGAGCATCGCAGTGGTCGACCAAATGAGGTGACGACTCCAGAAATGGCGAAGAAAATTCACAAAGCGGTGCTGAATGATCGTCGACTGAAAGTGCGCGAGCTAGCAGATATAGTAGGCATTTCAAAAAATGCGGTTCATCGCATATTATCTGAAAATTTGGACATGAGAAAGCTCTGTGCAATATGAGTGCAGCGACTGCTCACAATCGAGCAAAAACAGTGTCGTGAAGATGTTTCAATTGAGTGTTTAGCGAAGTTTCACAGCAACAAAGCAGAATTTTTGCGTCGTTTTGATAACCATGGAAATTACGGCACTGCTATGATGATGATCTAATATGTAGAGTTGCTTAGGTTTGCACTTTTCAATTCCTTTGTTCTAGCGTAGGTTATAAGTAAGAGATGCATGTAAACCAAGGTGACCAGTACTCATTCGTCTTCTGTTAAATAAAGTCGCTTTTTTAAAAAGTCGTTCGTTGTTTGCACATTCTTAATTGGCGCTGCGAACAGGATATCGGCGTACCGAATCGATAATCGGCGGTATTGATTCACGAGTATCGCTCAATCGAGACCGAAAAAGTGCAAAAAATCGTCCGGTGTGTTCGGGTACGATTTCAATCGTTTTGACGTCGATCACAAAGAACTTCGAAGGCTACACCGAGCAGGCACATCACCATCGAAGTACCAGGCCGAAATACTTGCTAAGTATTTTGGGAGCAGGCAACGACACTTGAGAAAACGACAGGAACTGACAGGAGCGAGGTGCTGGATCCACGGCAGGCAAGCTGTCAACCAGGAGGAGCTGTATTGGCCCAAGGAGGTATCTCAGATCTCTCCAAATGAAGCTGCTAGTGCCCAGTGTAGCGTAAGAAACAACATTTACAATTTTTGCTGTACTCAGTGATATTTCCATTTATTTCTCGAAACTTTTTCGCCCTCTATTGCTTTACATTTATATATACTCGTAAAAGTTATCTATAAGTAAACTTATTTAGTGACTTTAATTGCATATATTTAATGTCCGATTCTGAATTTGAATCTGTAGTCGAAAATACACCTGTTAGACAAGTTATTTTGACACCCTCACGTCTTAATTTTAATCAGTCAACCATGTCTCTTCAAGATTTACAAATTAAATTCAATGTAGCTAAATATATGGTACCAGAATATCATGGAGGTCACAGAGATCTAATTTATTTTTTGGATAATTCAGAAAAGTTTATTGCAGAATTTGTTAATACACCTTTTGTTTCGTATGCTTTCCAATACGTTATTTCTCAGCTGAAAAGCGAAGTAAGAGATTTAGTGCATCTAACTAGTCCGAGAACCTGGCCAGATTTAAAATCATTATTATTATCCAAATATAAAGATCCTAGAAATGAAGAAACTCTTCTCACCGCCTTATATACGTCAGTTCAGAAACCTAACCAAAAATATGAAGATTTTTATCAAGAAATTAAATTTAAGGTACAGAGCCTGAAAGAATTTGCAAATTTAGAATACCATGATAATCCCGATCATATCGCTTTTAAATTGAGAGACTATGATAGACAGTCTTTGAGCTCCTTTATCTCTGGTTTGAATGAACCATATAGGTCTTATGTAAGACAGCAAAATCCTACGACAATTGATTCTTGTGTTCAATATTGTCGTGATTATGATAATTTGCAAATGCAAGTTGATTACAAAAATTTCTTAAGAACGAGCCTATATAAACGACAACAGCCTCAGTCTCAGAATAAAGTACAAGCTTCAAATCAAAATTTCCAAAGGTCTAATTTTAATTTTTCTCAAAAGCCCAATCAGTTTAGAGCCCAAAATAGTCAAACTTGGCTAGAGCCACAACAAACCTTCCCTACAGGTCCCACGCAACTACCACCACCTAAACAAAATTTTAAACCTCATTACCCTACAAACATTCAAGCTTTCAGACCACCACAGAATGTTTTTTCCAAAAAACCCATTCCAGGTCAACAAAAAAGTAATCCTATACCTATGTCTGTATCTACAGCACGCACACCGAAACCCCAGCAAAACCCATATCGTCAACAAATGCCCACTAGAGTTAATGCCTTTCAAGTAGGTCCCAAACCAAACCATTATTATGTCGAAGAAATTACTCATCTTGAAAATGAGGAAGAACAAACTTTTGCAGGAACGCCACAATATGAATCTGAGGAATATACCCAAGATTTCGATTCAGACTATATCCCCGATGAATCTTATTTTGAAAACAATGACGAAGAAAATTTTCCTTCGACGAGCCAGTCTCAAAATTTGACTTAGATATAAATAATTATCAAAAAACCCACCTTCCGTATATTTTTTGTTCTCAGTTTAATCTTATCATCTTAATCGATACTGGTGCATCATCCTCCCTGATCAATCCAGAAATTGCTTTTAAATATTTTCCAGATCGTATTTATGATCATCCTTTTGAAATTAATTCATGTACGTCCAATTTTAGAGGTCAATATGCCTGTAAAATTCCCATATTTTCTGAATGGAAGAATAAAACTGAAATTGAATTTTTAATTCTTCCTTGGCATTCACGTTATGACTGCTTATTAGGATTCTATGATTTACAAAAGCTTAATTGCTCTATTGATTTGACTAAACATCAGATTATTACTGATAAATGTAAAATTACTTATAACACTTCCTTTAAGCCAATTCGAGAAAACAATCCAGTTCAGTATAGTTACCCGAAAAAATCATTAATTATCCGAAATTTGGATAATGGTTCTGTTGTTATTCCACCTTTGAAATTCAAAAATTCTGACGAATATTTTCCTGAATGTATCTGTAACGTAGAAAATAATGCTATTCAATATCCAATTGACATAAATCTTCTTGATGTTTCCAACCCATTTTTATCTGAACCTCTTGATGATTTTCTAATTGAAAAAGAATCTCCATTTTCTACTGAAAAATCCAATATACGTGTTGAAAATTTAATTCGTACGTCTCAT